GCTACTTAAATGACATGAGACTACTTATATGACATTGAGAGTCCCTTGGATAGTAAGGAGATCAAACCAGTCAATCCTAAAGGAAATCAACCCTGAATATTCATTGTAAGGACTGATGCTGAAACTCCAATTCTTTGGCCACTTGATGCAAAGAGTTGACTGATTGGAAAAGACCCTGATGCTGGGAAAGATTTAAGGCAGGAAGAGAAGGGGATGGCAGAGGATGAGATGGTTAGGTATCACTGACTTAATGGACATGAGTTTGAGCAAGCTCTGGGAGACAGTGAAGGACAGGGAAGCCTAGCATGCTGCAGTCCATGGGGTCGCAAAATGTTGGACACGACTTAGTGACTGAACAACAACAACAAAATATGACGTGAACTAAGTGTTAGCTGGTCTACTATAAAATTTTGCTCTTTGGGCAGCAGGGTGGGGGGAGGGAAGTGGAAAAAGTTAGGCACAGTTTTCAAGATATTAAGTTCAAATAGTTGTCACAATTTACCTTTAAGAGGCAGATTTTTTTCTTTCCCTCTTTGACTTTGAAAATATTCCCTATGTCACTCTCCTTTTTGATGATCCTCCATAATCTGGGAGGGTTAGTTGGCAAAATTTCATACAGTAAGCAGTACTCACTGTCTCATCTAACAGACTCAAACTATCACCCTGGGGGAAAAGAAAATCTTTGTGGCTAAAAAATGTCATCTGGGATCTTAAAGCCCATCAGCAGGGAGACAGTGAGGAATGTGGTTCTCTTGACTGGGGAATAGGTTGGATGACTGGAATGTCTTTTTTCCCAGCATGTTAATTTCTATGATTGGAAGAAATCAGACCTTAAAAGGAATGGAAGAAGTACAATTTTCAGAGAACAACAGTGAAGACTAGTTATCGGGGAAAGGTGAAAATGCTTCCAGGTCTGAGTTCATGACAGTTAATTTGTATTTCATAACATTTATAGAATGATTTTCACAAATGCAGTGCAAATGAAGATGCTTTATTCCCAATGTAGACTGCTGAAGTGAAATTCACTTCTCTTCAGCATCATCATGCCACATATACACACCATAGAAAATGATTCACTATATATATATATATATATATACATATCAGTTTTTACATATTTGTAGATGTATATGAAGGCATGTGCATATATATTAAATATATATATATATTTGAAAATTAAAAGGTATCTTTACCCACTAGAGAGAGACTGATATTTCAATCTATCAAGCCATAATTTTACATCTCAGATTAGTGGCTAAGAGCGTGGGTGCAGGAGTTGGATTGCTTGAGCTAAGACCATTTATTAGCTACGTGACCTTGGGCAAGGTCAGGATCTTTTTGTACAGCAGGAACCTCAGCTCTAAGATGGGAAAAATAACTGTACCTGCCCAGTGGAGTGGTTTAGGGTTTGGAACATGGTACTGGATAAAATGCAAAATAAAGGTGAAATTGTATTATAATTACTAGTATGTGTAAGGGCCATGCTAGGTGCTTTGAGGGATAAAAAAGAGACACAGTCTCTATTCTTATACAGTCTACTGTCTAACTGGAAACCCAAGATGCAGTCTCATATAAATTAACTATTAACGCCTGAGAAGCAAACCAACAGTGTAGTTCAGTAGCACAGACCAGCTTCCCAAGGAACAGAGGAGTGTATATAAGGTGTCAGTTTCACATTTGCTTCTCTTTACCCAATGCTTATCTCTTTGACATGATGAAAGGCTCAAGCAGATTGTATAATAAACACTGCAGCAGTGGTCAGACTATGTTAATCCTGCAGTGGTTTAGTCATGGGTAAGCGTTATGACGCAGATGTTAATGCTGGACAACTGTTAGTGCTCTGAAAAGTAGCCAATCCATCAATTTCTACAGTTTATACAGGGATGGTGATGACTTCAGCTGATCCCACCCTGCCCCGACTCCCTGCCGAGATTTACAGAGAATTCCAGACTGTGGTTGTCTGGTTTAAGAGGTAATTCTGTAGAAGAACTAGCACAAAACTGCATGTCTAATTGCCAAATGAATGTATTACAGTTAACAACTTCTCTATGAGATCCAGGGCTGTTTATTGTGCTCTGAAATGATGATGGAAGGCCTTGGGAAGAAGTGATTATGAAAGGGCCTTCAACAAGATTTAAGGTGATTCTTGGCTTAATCCCTTTTAAGTTAAATATTAATTCCCCTAACTTAATTTTTAAAGCATCACTCTAGATTTTTACCCAAGACTGTCCCTGAATGGTGCCCATATCAAAAGATGCTTTCTAAAGCTAAATTATCAGCTTAATAGGTTTCCATGTATTGATATGAATACATAAGCTGCACCTATAAAATTGCTTCTGTGAGGAAAAGAGGGATATTCGGATTTCAGAGTAAGTGAAAAATCAATTTATAAACTCACTTTTAAAACTCTGCTTTGGTTCTTTCATTCAACAGATTATTTATTGAGTGTTTCTCATGTATCAGACATCAGACACTGTTGTAGTCACATGTGAACAAAACAAAGATTCTTGCCCTGATGGAGCTGACATTCTTGAGAGGGGAGGCAGTTAAATAATAAACATAATGAAGAGTTGGTATAGTGTGTTACGGGTTTCCCTGGTGGCTCAGATGGTGAAGAATCCACCTGAGATGCAGGAGACAGAGGTTCGATCCCTGGAGTGGGAAGATCCTCTGGCGAAGGGAAGGGCTACCAAGGTGTCAAGTGCTAAGGAATAAAAAAAAACAAAACAGTAGTGCAGAGTTAGAAGGATGGGGCTGGGTGTCAATTTTAAATAGGACAGTCATTGACAAGGTTACATTTAAGCAAAGTGTAAAGGGAGCCAGCCAAGGGAGTTGAACCATACCTGGGCAAAGAGCCAGTGCAAAGGCCCTGAGGCAGGAGTCTACCTAGTGAGTCTGAAAAACAGTAGGTAGGCCAGTGTAGTTGGAAGTGGGTGGGAGAGATAGGAGGATGTGGTCAGAGAGGTAAGCCGGGTAGTGGCAGGGAGGGAACTGAACAAATCATGGAGAGCCTTGCAGGTTATTGTAAAGCCTTTGAGAAAGAAAGGAGTCATTTGTATTAGGCTGGTTTGAAGTAAGGCCCTCTGCTGTGCTAAGTTGCTTTAGTTGTGTTTGACTCTTTGCAATTCTCCTGGACTGTAATCCTCCAGGCTCCTCTGACCATGGGATTCTCCAGGCAGGAATACTGGAATGGGATGCCATGTCCTTCTCTAGGGGATCTTCCTGACTCAGGGATCATATGGGCATCTCTTACCTCTCCTGCATTGGCAGGTGGGATCTTTATACCACTAGCACCACTTGGGAAGTCCACCTGAATCAAAACAATTCCTCTTATTCCTTGTCTCCTACACTTCCATTTGAATGTGGAAACAATCCAACTGAGATCTTGTTAAAAGTCAAATTCTAAATTAGTAGTTCTGAGGGGGGCCTAAAATTCTGCATTTTTAACGATCTTGCAGGTGATGCCAGACTGCCAGTCGACAACCCCACACTGAGAAATGAGAGTGAAGAAGTACTGAGAACCAAGGGGCTTTGAGGATTTCTCCTCCATTAGTTGGTTGCAAGGCCCTTCTTGTTCCCTTTGAGCTTAAAAGGACATCCTGAAAGCTTTCATACTGGTCATAACCTTGTCACTGGCCTCACTCTTTCATGTTCTTTCACCTGGCTGGTAAGGGTACGGTCCAGAGCTCTCTTGGGAATATGGGAGATGTTGTTTGGCTGTTTCTATGCAGGGTCTAAGAAATTTCTAGGGCCTCCCTGCTGCCACTATGGGGGCTCTGCTTCTGAACCTTCACCTGGGAAGCCCTGCTCTACTCCTTGAATAATAGTTCTCTGAACACATCCCTGTCTTACTCCAATTATAGCAAGTAATTCTGACTTGTAGCATTCACTCCTGATCCTATACCTTGAGTGATAGCCTGACTCTGTAAACTAGGCTTGAGGCAGATAGAAGATGTGCGTGATGGTGCTGGGATGAAGATGTACTCAGCTGATGCTGGTGCAACAGGTAAGGTTGAACTTTTTTTTTCTTGTGGAGTGCAGCTAGTGAGATCTTAGCTTCCTCACCAGGGACTGAACCCTTGCCTTTTGCAGTGGAAGCTGAGTACCAACCACTGGACTACTAGGGGAGTCCTGAGTCTGACTTTCATAAAAACTAATAAAGTAATTTACAGCTGAACAGGCCTGGAAGGACTAGATACTTATGAATATAAAACAAAGGTTATGAGTCAGATAGACTTGGGTTAGAATTATGCTTCCACGCCTTACTGTGTTATGTCAAGAATGTTCCTTGGCGTCTCTGAGCCATAGTTTTCTCATCTGGAAAATGAGAATGATAATGATACCTCCTTCATACATTGAGAAAAGGTATATGAAGCACATAGTAAAGTGCCTGATGTAATGATACTCATAAAATACTACTCGCTATTAGTTTTATGATTACTATTAAACTCCGACCACATGTCACATTGCTCTGCGGCCTGGCATTATGGTACTTACCTTTAAAGTCCCTGGAGTTAAAAGTACCAGAGCACATCCCTCAGCAAAGTTGTTCAAAGATGGGACAGACCAGGAGCAGGTTCATCACGACACATGTTACAGTAGATAATGGAAGGAACTTTAGATGGTTAGTTTAGAAAGCATATGATGGGGGTACTGATAATGATGGCTGTCCTGAGGGTATCTTGTAGAAGAGGACCCTGAGAGCACACCTGAGACCAAAGGGGAGGGAAAAAAAGGAAACGGAAGCACATCCCTCTGTAACCTGTTGAGTGAGTTGGGGGGTGAGATGGGGGGTGGGGGCGCCCTCGAGGGTCGCGGCTCTTGCGCAGCTGCGGCGGCGGAGCCAATCAGCGGGCGCATCCCGTCCTCTCGCGACGGTACAGTCGTGCCGTCGTGACGTTGGCGGTTGCCATGGAGTTCCCCGCTCCGTAGGGCCGCGAGCCGGCACCAGGGGGGCCGCGGGGTCGCATCGCGGCTTTGAGGTCCAGTCGGCCGCCGCCATGAGCGGCCGGAGTAAGGGGCGAAGGTCCTCCCGCGCCAAAGGCCGTGGCAAGAGCCGCGCCAAAGGCCGAGTCCGCGCCGCGCCTGACGACGCCCCGCGGGACCCGGACCCTCCAGAGTGCCAGAGGCTCGGGGAGGAGACTATGGCGGCACAGGTGCAGGCTGGCGCGGGTTGGGGTGGCCCGGAAGGCGCTGAGTCCGCGCCGCCCCGCCGGTCCGGAGAAGAGGCTGCCTGCCGGCTGCCCCTAGACTGTGGCCTCGCGCTCCGGGCCCGGGCAGCGGGGACTCTCGGGCAGGCGGTGACCAGGCCGTGCCCGGTCAAGGCCACATCCGTCCCGGAGCGCCTGGTGACCGACACTGTCTTCGTGGGAACCGTGGGCACCGTGGCGAGGCCGAGAAACGGGCCCCGCGTCGGAAGCCGCCGCGGCCCTGTGGCGAAGAAGACCCCAGATACCTGTAGTGCGGTGGGGAGGGGGTCTGCGGCCTTGGCTGGGGGGAAGCCGAAGAAAGGGGCCGCGGCGGAGGCCGCCTCCGTCCCCGTGGGCGAGGAGAAGATTGAGAACGCGGGGTCAGGGCCCCCGGCGACAGAGGGCAGCATGGATACGCTGGAGAACGTCCAGCTGAAGCTGGAGACCATGAACGCCCAGGCGGACCGGGCCTACCTGCGGCTCTCCCGCAAGTTTGGGCAGTTGCGGCTGCACCACCTAGAGCGCAGGAACCTCCTTATCCAGAATATTCCAGGCTTTTGGGGACAGGCCTTTCAGAACCACCCCCAGCTCTCGTCCTTCCTGAACAACCAGGATAAAGAGGTCCTCAGCTACTTGAATAGCTTGGAGGTGGAAGAGCTCGGCCTGGCGAGACTGGGCTACAAAATCAAGTTCTACTTCGGGCGCAACCCCTATTTCCAAAATAAGGTGCTCATCAAGGAATACGGGTGCGGCCCTTCGGGTCAGGTGGTGTCTCGTTCCACTCCAATCCAGTGGCTCCCCGGGCACGACCTCCAGACCCTTAGCCAGGGGAACCCCGACAATAGCCGGAGCTTCTTTGGGTGGTTTTCAAACCACAGCTCCATCGAGTCTGACAAGATTGTGGAGATAATCAACGAGGAGTTGTGGCCCAATCCCTTACAGTACTACCTGATGAGTGAAGGGGCCCGTGCAGAGAAAGGAAAGGAGGGCAGGCCGGGTCCTGCGAGGCCGCCAGGGGAGACCCCGGAGCCTGGGGTAAACAAGTCCAACTGATCCTGCTCAAGTCTTCGTCCTACCTCTTGCTGGCCTCATGCCCGGCTGGCCTTGGGTGTTTGGCTGTCTGCCTTCTCTTCGTGTTGGCCTCTGCACACTGTTCCTGTTGGACTTCGGTTACAAGAATATGGCATTTATGATCATGTTCTTTTGCCTCCCCGTGACGTTCTTGCTTTTTCTTTACATTAGTATCATATGTTATGTGATCTCGCCCCTCCTGTTGTGTTAAACTCACTTGATTCCAGTGTGTGCTGCCTTTCTCTACATTGCTTGGACCCTGTTCTTGGCTCTGGCCTTTCCCACCTGTCTTTCACATGGACACTCATGAGTCAATCAGCAAGAGGACCAGTGCATCCTCAAGCTCTGCTACTTCAGGGCCGGTGACTTGCCGGTCTTCGAGTTCATGCCAGCCATGCATGCCATCTGTGGCAAGCTTTTCGGTTGCCACTGCAGAATGAAGCTAGCGCACATGGCATTGGCCATCAGCCTAAACTGATTGTCTCTTGGCTCTGGGGTTACCAGCCAAGGTGCCACCTGCAGGATCTCTGGCTTTGGCCAGGGACCCATGCTGCCCTCCTAGACACGGGTTGAGGTTCAGGGTGAGATTTGCTGTGGGTTCTGTACTGTTTGGCATCTCTTCCTGCCTCTGGGCCTTTCTCCTTCCTGGTAAACCTTTGTCAAGGTCTGCATCATACCTCATCACTGTCAGGCCATTGAGTTTTGTCTAGGTTGCCAGTCGGCCCCAACTGGCTTCCTGGGCAACAAGGACCTTGAGAACTGCCTGTGGACACAGGCCCTCTGCCGGCGCATGAGACACACACCTGCCCTCTCCAGACTTCCAGGATCCCTGCTGGCTGCCGGACTGATGGGCAGGCTGGTACGTGTGGACATGTGCTCACTGTCGTCAAGCTGTGGCTCCAGGTGAGGGTGACTACCGGACTCACTTAAAATCTAGGCACCTTTATCCACTCCCCCCATCCCTGCCTCACACGTGACCAGAGTGCTGTCGTGGGGTTGCTGGGGAAGAGAGATTTCAGATCTGTGGGCCTGTGTCTACTTGACCTCACACATCTGCACTCCTTCCGCGATCCTGTCTCCTCAGCCCCTCTTCCTTCTTCCCCTCTGTCCTTGTCCTTATCCCTCACTCGTCCCTCCCTTTCTTTCTTCTTCTTTTTGGTTTCAATAGTGGTGCTTCTGAAAGAGAAAACAAAACAGTTGTGAAGCCAGGGTTTTCTGCATACAGCTAGTGAGTTGGCTCGGGCCTTGTTCTGCACACGCACACACTGGGCTGGGAGAGGGGAGAGGAAGCCAGAAGGCCAGGTGGGTCTGTGGTCAGATCCTGCTCCCTCCCGCCTTCTGGGTTCCTTCTGTAGTTCTGACATTGAGATTCTTCACATGGCGGTGCATCTGCTGGAACAGTCACCCCCCCAGGCAGCAGTGTTGGGGACTAGGGGTTACTTCTGCTTTGGCCTTTTCCTCTGCCTCCTAAGACCCGGTTGCCTTCTGTTTCTTCCTCTGGGCAAGCGTGTCTTGCCCTCTGGACTCTCATTCCCCAGCTCTCACCCTCAGCAGTGAGGTTTCTACCTTCACATACTCTTGGGAGTAGACTGTAGTCTCCAGCATGGGGATCCCAACTGTGCTGGGGCGTGGGGATGGGGGAGGGGGAGTACGTTTTCTGAGTCTCCAGGGCTTATTTCCAGCGGGTGTAAGAGCTGAGCTGCGCCTCCCCGCCCAGGCTTATCTGTGCTCTCTTTCCCCTCATCCCTGAGGGTGGGGTGAGTACTGAGGGTGTCTGTACTTGCCTTCACCCTAATTTCTCTCTCCTTGCAGAAGACCTCCTTCTGAGTTTCCCACGGGCTAGGGAAGTCTTGACTCGAGCTGTCAAGAGGGTGTTTGGGGCAGGGGAGCTGGGGCAAAAACCTAGAGCAGGAATAAACCTGGTGTGGAGAGCGCTTGGCAAAGCAGCTAGAAGTGGCTTGAGGAGCCTCCCGGAGAGGATAGCTATCTCTGAGACAGAGGGATGGGGAGGAACCTTCCCTAGGGCAGGGACAGAATTAAAGGGCAGTGGGCAAATGTTTGCCGAGGTGAGGGTATGCCCAAACTTTTGTCCAATCTCTCATTTTTGGTAGATTTTATAAATCACAAAAACAAGGGTCTGAATAACGTTACTTTGGGTACTTTCTCTTTTGTTCTAGGTGTGGCCTTGTGTTTTGTGGAAGATTATGTGCTACTTATTTTGTCTTTGAATAAATCTTACCATTTTCCCCATTTTTTGCCTAATGGGAAAATAGAACTGTACAGGTCGGTTTTTTCTTTTTTTTCTAAAAAAAGCTTTTTCCTCTTTATTATGGACATTTTCAGACACACACAGAAGTGGAGAGACCCCATGTGCCGTCACCTAGCTACATCATTTATCAGCTATGGTCAACCCAGTTTCATCTGCATCTCCGTCTCCCCGCCTGTATTGTTTATTGAAAGTTCAAGACACTGTGCCAGTTCAACTGGGACCACTTTGGGAGACTGAGACACTCTGCTGGTGGTGATCCTGGTGGGGTGCACTCGTAACTCATATCAGGTCTGCTTTTTGCTTTTCATGTTAACTAATGACGTTCCGGAGATGGGCCTTCGAAATGAAAGTCTTCAGAATTGACAAGAAGTATAAAAAATAATGAAGCTGCCTTTTCCCTGTGTCCACAAGAGGAAAGAGAGACTGCTCTGTTGTAAACTCTTTCAAGGACTTATCTATCAGTCTTTGATAAGGTGCTTACTTGAGACCTTTCATCAGAATAACAGTCTTTTTTTCCCCTGTAAGATGGAGACTATTACAATTATCAGCGTGTCCTGGTCTCATGATATAACTCTGAACTTGAAAGTAAAGTATAATTTGAAAATTGTTGCTGTGTTCTGTGAAAATAACCTCCCAAAAGTAATCAGTAACCGGTTGTCTTGGTAATTTGGCACTCTGGTAATAATGCAATTATTTCTCTGTTTGAAATAGTATAAATAGCGGTAACCTTGCATGTGTGATGGAAACAATAAAAGCTTGTATCTCTGTTATATTTTATTATTTTTAAAAAAGAATTGTAAGGTTAAGCAGAGGCTGGGTAGTTGACGGCATGTATACTGTGGCATACATGAGTGATTCCTAAGCCTCAGGCCCTTGTGTGACTAGCTCTATAACAATATATAAAATTGTGATTCCCAAGCCCTTATCAGAGATTGAGATCCTGTGGTTCTGGGAAGAAGCCAGGCAGTCTTGTTTTTAGCAAGCTTTCCAAGTAATTCTAGTTCAAAGCTTCTCAAATTTTAGAGTTCCTCTGAATCATGTGGGGAATCCTGTTAAAATACGAATTCCGATGCAGCAGTCTGGAGTGGAAGTTGAGATTCTGCATTTCTAACAAACTTCGGGCAATGCTGGTGCTGGTGGTTTGTGAACTGTACTTGGAGTAGCAAAGGAGGTGACTGCAAGGACCTTTCAGACTAGAGTAACAGCACTCGGTCTTAGTTACACATCAGTTACGTGGGAAGCTTAAATGGACACACACTGGCAGAGCTCACAAATACCAACTGAATCAGAATGGGGAAAGGGATTGATCGGGGTGTAGATATTTATTCTGAAAACATTCCAGGTGAGTCTGATGTCTAGCCAGAGTTGAAAACTAAAGTTTCTGATGCTGTTCTTAATAGATTCATAGCAAGGAACATTTTCCAAAACTCAGGAGGATCAGCAGCAGACAACCAAATGCCGAATAAAACTGCCCAGCCGAAAATGGCTGGGAAAAAAAAATTAGAAGTGAGTTGTTAACTAACAAAATAAAATTTGGTTTGTATGCTATTGGGCATGAATCAACAAATGTGCAGTGTTCAGGTTGAATGTTTCAAATATTGAATGAAAGAATGAGTAAAACTGTTTATACTCAAATGCTTTTGGGCTAGGCTGGTAATTAAATTTGTGAAGTGGGCCATATTTGCTTTATAAGGATGTTACGTGTTAGTTCGTTAGGGCTTCCATAACGAAGCACCACAGATCGAGTGGCTTAAACAACGGAAGCTGACTTCCAGTTCTGGAGGCTAGATGTCAGATCAAGGTGACGGCAGGGCTATTTTCTGCTGAAGTCTGTCCTTGGCTGGCTGACTGCTGTCTCTTCGAGGTCTTAGCTCTGTGTGTCTGAGGGCAGTGGGAAGAAGTCGGGGGTGTGTGTAGCTGGGGCAGCTCTGTTGTAGTGCCAGGTTGTTTACTTGGGGCCCCGCAGGCCTGGTGTTGCTGCATCTTCAAAACAAAGTGGCAAGAATCAGAATCTCCCAGTTTGGAATATTTTCAATTAAAAAAAACAATTGAACACCCAGAGCCTTGGTCTTAGGGGTAGGTGGAGTGCAGAAGGGTCCGGGGGGCAGTGTCTCCAGGTGTGAGCAACCTCTCCATGTGTGAGCGTCCTCTTGGGACCCATGCAGAGTCCTCCGGGGCTGCGAACTGGGACGGCCCTCTGCCCAGTTCAGCTCATGTACTTGCTTCTTCAGAGGCTCGGAGTCTCCACTTCCAAAGCCCCCTTCCACAGCCCTCCCTTCAGTTCATTGCAGGACCCATCTGATGGGGGTTTCATCCCCGTACTGCTCCAGGGTCTTACTCATTCATTGTCTCCTGTGTGTGTCGGTCTGTTGTAGACATCAGAGATACAGCGATGGACAAATACAGCTTTGAATTCTGCCCCTCGTCCCGGGTTTCAGCCTCCTCTCAGTTTTGCCTGAAATTGCCAGTCTATTCTTTTTTTCTGTTTTCCTACATGGGGCTGATGAGTGTGTCAGATCCACATGGGGGTGGCCAAAGGAACCTCTTTTCACTCTGGCCTCTAGGTCTGACTTCACAAGGCAATTTGGACTTTTAATAACCTGGAGAGTGAGGGCTTCTCGGAGTAATTCTTGTTACACTAGGAGTCCCTTGTCCCTTTCTCACCCAGTTTTATTGCCCAAGACCTGATTTCTTCTCACTGGGCTTTTCTGGA